CAACTATTTGTAAAGATCATTTCCTTTAACTGTTAGCTTCTTACTCTTAAAATCCCAAACTTCCCCCCAACTCACTCTGTGTGTGTGTGTGTGTTTATACACACACACACACACACACACACACACACACATATACATATTTTTTTAAATCTTTACCCGAGAATATTTTCCCATTTATCTTCAGATAGAGTGGGAGAGAGAGAGAAAAAAACATTGATGTGAGAGCGAAACATCGATTGGTTGCCTCCCAAACAACCTCGACCAGGGCTGGGGACCAAACCACAACCGAGGTACGTGCCCTTGATCAGAATCAAACCTGAGACTCTGGTCCATGGGCTGACGTTCCAACTGCTGAGCCAAATTAGCCAGGACTCACTTTTTATTAAAAAAAAAAATCTATCTCACCTCTTATTTATGCATAATATAAATGCTTGAATAAATATTTTTCTGCTTTATCAATCATTACTATATTATGCTCATGTCTGTCTTACATTGTAAACTTTCAAAGTACAGGTTATAAACAGAAACTTGATTCTGCACAGCACTGGGCACAATGTCATGATCACTTAAATGCTTTTGATGGCGATGGTGATGATGATGACAATGTCATGCTGTTCTGGTTTGAAACTATCACATAGGTGGTCCAGTACATTTTTTTAAAAAATATGAGTTGTTCCTCATTCTATAAAGCTGTCATTCTTTATTAGCAAAAAAATGGTTATAGTAAGTTATAATTACTATTTAGCACCCTGTCAAATAATTAAAAATAAAAACTTTCAATGAATTTAATGTTAACATGGTATAATTAAAGCAAAGTCTTGAAATGCATTAGGTGTCTATATGTCAGATATGTGAGGCTTTTTCCCTCTACATATGCAGTTTTCAAAATGTGTGTAATGTCATCCTCAGAGACAAAAACTCACATCACTAAGATGCAAAATGGGCTTGACAGTAAGCAGCAAGGACAATATTCAGAAAATCAAATTAGTTATACAACCCTGTTATTTACTGATGAGGAAACTAAGTCCTGGAGATAATGTGTGACTTGCCCAAGGTCACACGGTGCTAAGTTATTTCTTCCTTGATAATAAGAACTGAGTTGTGGGTTGCACTGAAGGGATTATTATTATAATTCATTATTTCTTTCAGAAGTTTAAGATGTTTGCTGGGGGAAAAAATAGTTTATTATGTCTTTTCTTGATGGATGAAAAATATAGGCCAAATAAAAGAACGTAATTCATATTTAGCTCTCGTACTTAATACTCATTGTAGGTTGCAGGGCTTGTCATAGCACCTATTTTAGGGCTGAAATACGGAGAAAGGCTGAAAGCTCACCATTCTTCTCATCAGAATACCTGCAATGTGCCTAGATACGGGGCCACTTCTCACCCTGCACTCTTTGAGCTTCTGAGGCCTTCTCTTGTGCATGTCCTATTATCTTTTCTGTCCACACAGATTTTGAAAAATCAGAGTACAAGTAGCCCCCGAAATAAAGGCGTCATTCAAGGAACAAAGAAGTAGAAGGAGGGCTCCAATTAAAATGATGAAAATCTTTCATTTTTATTTAGGTATACTTGTACGGACACGTGTATATACAAATACAGATCGTATGGGTTTGTTTGTGTGTGGATTTTTGATGATGATGATTATTTTTTTTACATTTTCTTTTCTGTTTATATAATGTCAGCATTTCAAAACAGCACTCGATGAGGAAGTGCAAAGGAGCTGCAGAGCAGGGCATACAAGCACGGGACCACACGGAGCTGGACTGCACACCCAGACGCACACACAATGAGTGGCTTCAATGGGGTGTCGAGAGGAAGCATGGAAAGCGGATTTTGACTCATGGGTAACCTCCAACATGCCAGCATCTATTAAACTGTACAGACAATGGGCGCAAGCCCATTGTAGGGAGATTTGTCTCACATCCGAGCAGCTCTGGGACAAGGCATGGGAAAAACTCATTGATGCCAAACCAGAGACAGACCTGCCCATTCACAGCGCTGAGGGGAAATAAAACGTGGGAGGAAGGCGAGAGACCAGAAAATAAACATAAGAAATAAAGGGGGTTGTAGGCAAATGGAGTGTTGGTGGAGGTGGTTTTCAAAAGAAAAACTAATGACCACAGCTCTGAGAGCAATGCATGGAGGGGCGGCATTTAAACTGTTCCTCTGATTTGGGAGAAATAATAAATATGGCTGCTGCCGCTGCTAAGGCACCAGAGACAAAGAAAGTTCCTGGGAATTCACAGGCCCTGTGCAACTTCTTCCACAGTGACACGGGAAACATTTAACCTTCCTGAAGGGATGGTTTGCCACCTTTCCCACACCTGGGCTGCGTGATACTGGTCAGACTTCCTGGGGGAAAATGAAACTCTGGAAACCACCGCAAACCAAACCAAACCAAGTACAGACTGTTTCTCAATTCCCTAAACCTTTTCAAACCAACACACCGGGGCGGAAAACACGCACACGCGCGTACACGCACACGCACACACACTACAGGGCTCCAACATCAGAGCTTGAAAACAATGAGGACAAAATAGTTATCCAAAAAGTCACATTGTTCCAGGCCCCAACACGGTGGAGTCTCAGGAGCGGGAGCATGAAGACCACACGTGAGGCCCGCGTGGGGCAGTGTCTCGGTCACTTGTGACTCTCCTGAGGCAAGGACACACTGGAAGTTTCAAAGCCTCATTGCATGTTTTGTATCCTGAAAGACTATTGTTCTCACTTACAAAAGACATAGAATCAAATTAATACTTTATTATCAAACACTATATACAACAGAGGTTGCTAATAATACAGAATTTAAAGAACGCAGTTTTTTTTTGTTTTTTTTTAATGTTTTACTTTTCTTTCCTCTGCCACCCAAGAAAGTACAGTACAAAACAATAGTCTAAGCTAACACAAACTGTTACCTGGTCTATTAAAGGATACACGGTATCCACTAAACAGACAGATCCTTATTTCCCTGCTTCATGTTGCAAAGCCCTAGGCAACCAGGTGCAAAGGTCGCTGGGGTTTGACTAACTGGGGCTGAGAGGCAGCTAAGGCTGCCCTTCAGACTTTTGAATTGTTTTTGAAATTAAAAGCTGCTACAAAGTTGCATCGACATCTTCCTACGCGAGGGTTGTAACACCACCACAAAAGGCCACCAGCACTTTTTAGGCAAGATGAAAACTGTCTGATACCAATCATCTTCTTGAAAACTCTGCGGCAAGCGTTACCTACAATGACATCACTTATAGGTAGAGAAGCACACTGTCTACTGTGTGGATAGTTTTGCTACTTTTTTCTTTAAAATTGGTAGTGGCACAATGGTGAAGGAAAGGGGTCTACTTCCACTGTGAAAAATGAAAGAGTGGCAGAGGGGGCCATGAGTAATTATTTCATCATTTGTTAGAGACAAATGCTAGAAAAACCACAGAAGTCACCATTTCTACAATGAAATTAGCACTGCTAATGTAGTTATGACTAACTGGAATCATTACAGGATCACCTGATTTCCTTGTGGTTACAGAACATGCAGTACTATTTTGGTTCTGACTATTGATCCATTTTAGAAGGTATCTCTTTCCCCCGCTACTCAAATCACGCTGGACCAACAAGCCTGTAACTATTAATAAAAAGAAGTATTACTGGACATTACTGAGAGTACTGAGCATATAAATAGTTAAAAGAAAAAGGAATCCAATGCTGTGAACTTTTGTTTCAGCGAAATGGTGGCTGCCTTCTGTGATAAGACTCTGCCACTCCAGAGAAGGTCCTGAGTCTGGGGGAATAGGACTGATGGGATCTGTGAGGCTGGCAGCCCCATTCACTTGGTCCAAGTGCTGCGAACAGACCCTGCAGTAACTTCCACTCCAGACGGACCAGGTAAGCCCACGTGTACCACTCTCCAGGGTGCAGTACCTTCTCAGCTGCCTTTCGTTCACACACTCTTCTAATTCCGAACTGCTCATAATTCTTAAGTTCCCATTCATGAAATCTGTCCGTAATACGACCCCCGCCCACTTTTTCTTACACATACATTTAAAAAAATGTATTAAAAAAATCCTTATTTTGCTGGAATTCTTCCAATTGTTCACATCTTACATGATCATTGCATTTATTTTCTGTTTTGTTCAGAAAGGCATGGTTTCTGTTGATATGTCGTGCAATAGCAAAAAAAGGCAAGTTTTCTTTTCCGTTGGGCTGACGCTTTTCCCTGTCTAGACTTCGCAGTTCAAAGTTCGAGACAGCCTCGCCAGCAGAACCCCCCAAGGCTTGCTCTTCCTGGTACCTGACAGGAAACATCCCTTGCTGGTCAGGCTGCGATTCCTTAAACAGGTCTTCCTGCACGTATTCTCCTTCCACCCCACCCCCACAATGAAACAAGATAGCCCCCCATATTTCTAAATGTATCAAGGGATACCACTTTTTCTCACAAGTTTAAATAGGACAAGCATATATACTCACTCTCAGCATAAAGTATATCTAAATAATGTATTTTCTATTCTAGTGGATTTTTAAAAAAATATTTTGTTAAAGTCTTTGGGACTCCATCTTGTTTATCTCCCACAGATAAACACATGTTCCCCCTACGCTTCAGGCTGTGTCAGAAAGGGAAAGAATATAAAATCAACACTTGAACTTCTTTAATTCCACACTTTGGAATTTTTATTCCAAATTTCCCTTTAGCCCTCCCAAGTAGTGCTGACTGACTCTCCAGGGGACAGGGGTCGGGCCCCTGGAGGCGCGGAGTGTGGAGCGGAGCGCGGGCACCGGGGCGGGACTCGGGGGAAGGCCACAGCACACTGGTACTCCAGCAAAGCCAAAGCACGTCTCCTCTGGCCACGGACATCTTTTCCTTGGTACAGATTGTGCCCCAGAGGAGTATCCAAAGCTATTCCATTATGCACTCATCAACCCTGGCTTGTCAGCCTTGGGGAAGGTCACTTTATTCATAAAAATGCCTCTTTGAGTTTCTTTAAAAAAAAAAAAAAAGTTGTAGCACCATGGTGATCTGTATTCAAAGGGAAAAAAATCTGGTGTACACTGCCCAGTCACCAAAAAAATTAGAGGCACTCACACATACACACCCCCACCAAACTTTTCTCTGATGTCACACTTGCTCTGTGCTAGCATCCCGGCACCCTACCCGCCACCTGGGAAAAAAGGCTTCTTTCACGAAGCGTGAGAGTCGCTGTCAAAAATGCTTTAAGACAGTCATCTAAAAACAAACAAACAAACAAACAAAGTGTCTCAACCTTTTAGAAGCCTGTTCATTTACACACCCTAGAGGAAATGGTGTAATATTATATCTGTTCTTAATATCTCCCCTCTGGACTTGACATGATGCCCTGCATGGTTCTCTTCCAGTCCTGAATGAAAAGGCATCAATATTGTATGGGAGAGGAACCCTCCTGGGCCTCGCCATCCCTGGCTGCATCTGCCACTGTCTTCCCTCGTCCACATACTGCTGACACAGCGCGCTAGCAGAGGTGAGCTCTTAGAGGAGAATGCTCAGGAGCTGATGACCACTGGTGTCACTACGACAATTTGGCATTTTCATCTGGAGTCCATTTAATTTGGAAGGGGTGAGAAGAGTCAAGGGCAAGGGCTGGGAGTGGGGTGAGGGAGGCAGCAACTACTTTAGCACCCCTCCCTGGCCCCAAGTTGTTGCTTAGAATTCAGGCTGAAAGAAAGAAAACAAAAATCTGACATCTGCCATAAAAACCAATAACAAGTCCCTTCTTAGGATGAGCAGTTAGGTGGATCTCTGGTGTTCCAAGACCCTGACGTTTTCTGTGACAGGTGACGGGAGGAAACTGTGCTATAATGTCAAAAGCATCGCCAGGAGGAACAGTAGGATTGCCAAAAGGCGGCTGGGTATCCTTGGTGTCTGTGCCGCGTTCTCGCCGCGGGATGGCTCGGCTGACTCATGTACGGTGTCATCTGTTCGAACAGAAAGCACACATTCCAATGAGATTTCACATCCGTAATAACTCTCTTGCTGCAGCCTGCTGTTAACAGACCTCGCCACCCACTGCAAAGTAAGGTAATGAACCTTGTGCCACCATTGACTTTCATGTCTGCATAATCACTCATTATTTACAGCAAACAAAGGAGAGGCAGAGCAAATTGCACTTTCTCAGCAATATTAATAGTTTCCTTGAAAACTGAGGTGGGGGTGGATTATGCACACACTGTAACCTTTGGCACGTGAGCTCCTCTGGTTTGCCAGCTGTCAGACACCTTGCACAAAGCTGAGATGTCTGAATGTAACTTTTAAACTCAAGATGCCATGGAGAAGCAAGTAACATGTTCGGGGTGGGGGCACTTCTGTTGGCATATTAGCAGTTAACCGGAATGGGCTGACGACTTCCCTCATTCTAAGCAGTTTCATAGGATTAGTGTTGCATGCCTGGTTGTTGGAAGCCTAGATGAATTTTCAAATATGAAAAATAAAATGCCAAAACAAAAGCTTTTAAAATAAACTATACTTGTGCCCACTAAACCTCAATACACCAATGCCCACTGGTTTGCTTACAATTAGGCATCAATTACTGTGCTATTTCCATGACAAACCCTGTAGCTCCAGGATTAAATTACTTGAACTTAAACTATTTTTATCAGGCTGATGCTTGGCACATAAAAATTAATGCAAAATTTCCTCTAAATAAAACGGATTAGGTGAGGTAAGCTGCTTTTATTTAACTATAAAGTGTTCTCTGAGGCTGCCTCTGACTTTCCAGAGCCTTCCTGATTGGCATGATTAGCAGGCTTAACTTTGAAACAGGAACTTTGCAGCAATTAGTACCCAAAGATAGAGCGGAGGCTTGCCTCGGAGCCGTGCTGTGCTCTGGGTCGCACATCCCCTTCCTTCCACCTGGCCTGGCTTACGCTTTTAGACTCAGCCATCTATGCACTGCACGTTCTTGGGCCCTACAGTGGGGTTCTGTGGTCGATCTTATTTCAGCACCAGGGGCCCTTCCTGTGGGAACTCGGCCATTGTCATCCTGGCTTCTCTCAACAGTCATTCAGAAAGAACGATGACAAGTGACACTCTAGTGGTTGTTCTCAGTGTTTTAGACCTCAAAGGATAATCCCTAAATGACCACCCCTCAAACCCCTTAATGGATTAACTATCTGTTGTTTTAAATTTGCTTACATTTTCATACCACACAACATGTCACAATCAGGCTGCTTCATCTTCACTAGGTGGAGTCACACAGCCTATTGTTTGTCTTAAAGTGACCCCCTTCAGCCTATCACACTCATTCCCAGTTTGAACTGAGATGTGTTTTCTCGGCTTTGCATCTTCTGCCCTGGAGGGCTCTTAGTTCAGCCCGTCCTGTGTAGAACCTGCTGCATCCCTAAGCCCGAGTGGCTCCTCTCTGCTGGCCCTTCGCAAACCTGCAGAGTGGCTATTAGCATAGGAGACTGGAAAAGGTTAGAAGGAAGAGTGGGAAGTTAGATGGATGCAGAGGAAACTATAAAGCCCCACATAGGTTAGCCAGGTACTTGAGGACGCTTCTTTTTTCCTCTGCTCTTTCTCAGCTTTGCAAAGGTATTACATCTGTAGTTAACAGGAGGTAGAAGTAAATGCCTTTAATAGCCCTGGAATTAAAATCCAAATAATTTCTTAAGAGCACCAATATGCTGTCAATCAAAATAACAGAGTATTACAGTCGTAACTGTGGGGAAAAAACCATCAACCCTGAGGATTGAAGAGTTCTTTTGAAATACCGCTTATTTCATACACCTGAAATTACATCAGCTATTGGGTTCTTCTCCACCATATTTTGACTAAGCTCAAGGTTGGACGTGTACTGCTTAAAGGTACTCAAGTAACAGGCACTCAGTGTGAGCTTGAAGGGGGCAGCCCTGTCTGTCCCTCCAGGGTGCTCAGCAAGGGCTGTCCATTGCTCCAGGCCCACAGGACACGAAGAGGAAAGCATTGGGTTTTTTTTGGTATAAGGGAAGCATGAGGTTAAAGGTGCTTTTCAGACCTGCAGCCATGTACCGTCCTGCTCCTACTGCAGCTGGCTGGTCCTGGCTCAGGATTCGACCAAGCATTTAAAACAGAGCCTCACCGTTGGGAGATCCTACGGCCCCCAAGAAGCGGAATGAGAAATGCACTGCCATGTGGGTAAATCAGAACAACGGCAGAATTCTACGCGAATTCATAAGCAAAATCTATCCCAATGGAAATTACACCTAAACCTGAAAGAACGTCTAACACCTCAAGAAGCCAAATCAAGTCTTGCTTCCTGGCTACAGGATTCCGCCACCTGGGGTTTCAATGGTTAACTGGGAGGACGCTAGCAATATTTTGGAGCATATTATGTGGCGTATGTCTGCCCTGAGATCATCCTGTATCCCTGATGATAGGAAACTGGCAGGCAGAGTGTGCAAGCAAACATCAAAGACAAATACATTCCAAAGACAGGTGAATTAGTACACGTTGCTGAGAACATGCAGTGGAACCCTTTCAGGCCTGACAGATCCATCAAGTCCGGGCCTACACTCAACCATTCAACACTGTGTTGCAGAGCTGCAAAGCTGACTGGATTTTCTAGGGAATAAGGTGAAGTCCTCAAATCTAGCACTGCATTTATACAGCCAGGGACGGTAGTGCAACCTTGTCTTATGTTTTCAGTGAAGATGCTCAGCAGATAAGCCCTTAAGCACAGTCATGGCTGACAGAAGGAGCAGGACCTGTGCAGGTCCACCTGCATGTCCTCTCCTCCCCTCCCCCTTTCTCTGACTGCATTCTGTCCAACTTCCATCAGCTATATGTGCAGGGACTGGGGGGCCACCATGGATTTTTAAATGCTCAGTGAAAAAAAAAAGCCTGTTTCCCCAAAGACAGTGTAATATGCTCATGTATGAATGCATCCTAGTATGTTGCATTTTCCAGAGTAGTCCTCAGTAGCAGAGAAAAACACACTATCTGCTATGTTTCTAAACAGCCTCTTGCTTCCTTGATAGGCAATGGAATTTACCTGGAAAAAGAGTATTGGAAAGAGATGCCTACATCTAAGAGTGAACATCAGAAAATCCTAATTCTACGTCACTTTTGTTAACATGGCTAACTTTGCTGGTCATTCTGCACATGACAAAAGGAAGAGGGTAGATTCTGGTCCTTCCAAGAGATCCCATCGCCCAGATCCTGTGATGGCCCGAGTCCTGGAGCTTGGGGGGACTCTGGTACCTTGAAAAGCCAGAGTGATGTTTCCGGGTTTCCAGGACACAGTTATACTGTCTCCACATCAGCACTCATTCCTTGCCACTTTTTAAAGCGGCTAGCTGACCCCTCGGGAGCCACCAGGGACTCTGAGAGCTCACTGTACACACTGTACACACTTCTCACTTGTGCTCTGGCTAAGATACCTGCCTTAGAAAAACAAGGACACTTGGGGAGTAAACCTGACTCCTCCTGTCAGTTACACTGAGAAAGCCATTGTATGTCCCGAGGCACCACATTTACTCAGGCTAGGTTTCCCTAAGGCTCACTGCCTGTCCCAGTAATAGTACTCAGAGGATAATTTCTAGGAGGACAAGAAAGAAATCCTACTGCAAATAGGACTGTTTACCTAAGGCAGGGAGCTCACAGCTTTCTATGGAGAGGAAATAATTTTGTTTCCCTTAAGCTTGGAGCTGACCATAGGAGATGGGTGAGTAAAGGAGTCAAGGTCTCGAGCAAGTAGGGCGAGGAAGAGAAACCACAGGAAGTGAGCACAGGGCACTGAGGCACACACCTCACCATCAGTCTCGAGTTGCAGTAAGTAGCCAGATTGAATTTATAACCAAATGGACAGTTTACATTATCTATAGTAGTCTACGGTATAAATGCTTCAATGAGTGCTTTCGTGGGTTTTATTTTTCTTCACAGTGATGGGAAAGTTTGAGTGCGTACAAGTTAGTAATAGGGAAAAAGTCTATTTATCCTGAGTACTTATTTTGCCTCAGTGATCAAGGATCACATTTGGCTCGACAGACTAATACATTTGTGGGAGCAGCAGGTGTATGAATGTGTGGTGTTAGGAGGCAACATGATAATACTTCTCCAAATCAATTACTATCAACAATAGCACAAATAATATTTGAAATAGGATAAAGTTCTTTAAGATCACTTCAGTGATGCATGTGAATTTCTAGAGAAAACTAAAGATGTTGAATTAGTGGCTATTTTATGCGATAGTCTTACTACTTTTATCCACAGATTTGGACATAATATCAAAGTTTATAAGCATATACAATAGAAATGTTGTTGTTGTTTTTGTCTTATATGAAAACAGATCCATTAATATTCACAGCGACTCACCAGCATGCTCCGAGGACATGGTGAAAAAAGTAGTGAGATTTTTAGCATTCGGATGGGGTTCTACATTAGGATACTGCATTATATCAAACACATGCCCCAAAAAGAAAAGTCGTTGTATCTAACATGCACTACACAGAGGTACTGGAGGAATGAGGAAGGATATAAGTAAGATTAGCACCGCTAGCAATGAGCAACTCTAACATGCACACATGCGGAGAGGAAGAAAGGAAAAAAGCACTGACGCACCGGAGAGATGCACTTGTTAAAAGAGATTCTCTAAGCATACTAACCTGCTGGTTCTAATGAATTTTCTACTTTGTCGTTAACATCGAAAACACGATCATGAACACCTATAGTTTTCATACAGCTATCTATAACAAAAATAGAGATAACAGCCAAATATGTTAGTGCAGACACCCTTAAACTCCCGATTCTTTCTTCATTTCTTTCTCTCTATTTTTTCCTTTTATTGATGTAGAGATTGCTTAACAATCACTGGCATGTATCCAGATGCCAATCTTGTCCCCATTTGTTGTGACATACAACAGTCTAAGAAACAACAAGTTAGCCACTGCTGCGTACTTCAAAATAAAAGCATCATGAAGAAGGATGAGAAAAAACCTGATGAAAACTAAAACGTGAATGTTGATATACAAAACAGATACCACACAGAATTTAACAGTAAAAAACAAAAACAAAAAAAGTTTTACCGCCGTGAACCAGACCACACAATAAAGCATGCGCAGTGAAGCCACCCTCTGAAGCTCAGTCTGGGGGACTTACTTGTCGGTCTCACAAAGACTTTGAGCTTTAGACAGGACCTTCTTCCATTATCTGGGATTGCAGAGGCTGTGGATAAAGCAGAAAGAGAGCGAGAGAGGAGAGAACAACAGATTACTCTTCATTTTCAAATGCAAATGGTCTGCAATCAATGCCTTCTGAATTAAGAGGAGCACACTGGAGTTCTCCCCAGAAGTTAAAACACAAATACTTTTCAGATTGACACAGACTCTTACAGAAAGGGCTTCTTTCCTACCCCTGTTCTCTTCTCAGTAAGATCAAGAATCGTGCAAGAATGTTGGTAATCCACAGAAAATACTTTGGATTTTTATTTCAAAGGCTCTTTCACTTAACTCGATCTGTTATCAATTTTCTCTAAAAGAAGAAGATAATGCTCGAGCCCCTCCCCCTCCACCGCAGGCAGAGGGGCCCAGGTGAAATGCTGGCAAGAACCAGTCACAGACAGTTACAAGGCCAACTTAAACACGACCTATTTCTGCTGGGGAAAGCCACGCTTTGTCTGTCCTGAAAGACTGTCTGTCAGTGCTTTGCAGGTAATTCAATTAGAGGGTCTGCTCAGAACTTGGCTCCGCATTCTCTCTGACTAAACGGAGCCCAGCAACTTCCATCACGCCATTATAAATACAATATGCTATTGAGACAGGACTATGCGGTGGTACGTTTATTTTTTTTAAAAATTTGCCACAGAGAAGGATGGAATTAATAAAGTAGGCTTACCAAAACATGACAACATGTTTCAAGTTATAAATCATTTGAGGAAGAAACTTTCTTCTCCTCTTCAGGATAATAAGACCATAAACTCGCCCTGCGTTTGAAAGATTATCTCCCCTCAGAACACACAGCGTAACGTCAAAGGGATTTGCAAGGGTGGCCGGACCCTTAGCAATCACATGTGTTTACCAATGCATTCTAGAAATGACAAAAATTACAGAAATGAGTGCCGCACACTTTCCTCCCTGTGTGCTTGCTTCAAGTGGTTTCTTTGTTCAGACAGAGCAGATGACATCAATCAAAACACACATGGCTTGCAGTTCGTCCTGCGATGCCCTCGGTGACAAAGAGACGGCTTCTCTCCCCTTGATTTCCACCCTTTGCTGTTCGACGCAGAGGCGGGGCCCAGAAAACAAAAATGCTTATTTTGTAGGTGAGAGGATTCAAGATTCAAATCCCAAACTAATTTCACACGAATCTCCTCCTGTCATTCCAGATCCCGTCCCAGAGGAGAATTTGTACGTTCACCACCTAACAGACATCACGCCGCAGAGAACCCAGGCGTTGCTATTCAACACCCGTAGAAAACTCTTAATTCTCAGACAGAAGTGCACAGAAAAGATGTTTTCAGCCCTTCCCATCTCCCCCGTTCGTTCTGACAAGCAGTTAAGAAGTGTTAACAGCTGGCTTTGCTGTGGGCTTTCATTAAATCAAAGTCGGAAAAACTCCCTCTACTGACATTTACAGTAACTGGTGTGTTATTTAGGGCACAATATTTGCACTCTGTGGTTTGATCCAGGAAATGGTGTCCTTCCTGTGGACCCCAGCTACAAATGTGTGTCACAAACACAGCACACACAGGTGACTCCAATTCATTAGAAAAGCCAGCAGTTCTGGAGATCATGCCTTATTCATGAGAGGCGGTGTGAAAAGGGGCACACGATACCCACACTGCCGCTGTATGGGTTTCGGAGATTCCTGAGCTGGCTACCAACCTTGTGAACTGGATTTGCCACGGGCACGAACTGATTTTCTCAACAACACTGCAAGAAGGAACAGGCTCAGGGTAGCATCAAATGTTTCAGTGGGGGAACTTGGAATTAGTAGAGGTCTTTCTGATTTACATGTAGGAGAAATCCTTTAAGTCCAGGACATGAAAATCACTAATAACTAAACAGCAACAGATGATAAGCTGTCCAGGAAAAACGGAACAGTTCTCCCACCAACTCTCCAAGAGGGACAATTAGCCTTAGCTACTAGATGAGTTACATTCTTCTGCAAATTAGGAATATAAAATGTACTTGTACTTATACTTATATAAAATAAAAACCTGTTTCCCATCAGACTTCTCCACTAGTTCCTCATCTCCTCCCTGTCATCAGAAAGGCTGTAGGGATGTAAGCATGACTGACACCCTATGGCCCTGTTGGACTGTTATCCTCTAATCCTTAGAAAAAATGGTGAACAAAGAATATAAACACATACTGTGAGTACACAATGCAGATCACATCGAATCAATGGACTCTACAGTCTCTGACCTGAGCTCATAAAGTAAATTCTTAACCTTCAGAACCAACCTCAGTGGGTGCGCCTTGCTCGGTCAGTTTAACTCAGGTTCCTTATTTACCATGCTGAAAAACAAAAAGCTTAAAACCTTTTCCCACATATCATCTAAACTCATTTTTTTACGCAAAGCTTAAGAGTGATAGCATGGCTTTATTCCATGTCACGTTCCAGGTTTCCGAACCTCAGCCCTTGGCTGACTAATGAAAGATGCCTTTATATCATTTAGAAATATATATGATTAGTTATCAGTGATATTTGAAGCTATGAGGTAACATCAAAGTGCTTTACTAGTCACAATAAAAAGCCAAGGATTAAGCATGAAAAACCCAAAATAACAGAGAAATTGAAAAATATAATATGCATACAGTAAGTTTACAAAAAAAAAAAAAATCCTCTTGGGATCAATTACGAGGAAAAGAATTGAAGATGAATGTAAGGGAGAAAAAACTTAAAATGTGGCTGTTTTTTGTCAGGAGGCAGGTAATATTAATCCCTATGATTCCAGAGACATCGCTGTATAATGGCCAACATTATCTTTATCTTTGTTCAAATAAAATTAAAGTTTTTATGCTGCTTTCCTTAGAAAATTAATAGTGAGCATTTGAAAACTGATAGTAAATAGTTACCAACATGCATTATATATTCCTGCAGCTTCATCCATCCATTCAAAGGCTTTTAAAATCCCTACCATGTGCTAGTTTCCTTATTAGGTGCTGCGGATGCAAAGATGTACAAGACAAACTCCCTACCCTTCCTTGTTCTGTGCTTTTCCCAGCGGGAGCCATAGATCTCAAGCACAGCTTGGGCATCAGGAGGGTCTGTGTGGTAACTAGGTCTGCAAGTATTGCCAACACAGCTGGGCAGGGAAAGTTAGCTTTGTTTGGGGGTGTGAGGTGTCCCAGACATGTATCTCAGGGGGAAATTTATCAAGGCTTCTCAGGTCCTCAGGAAGCTAACCAGAAGCTACGGGTAGAATGAAAACAATTTGTCCCCAAGTTCCCAAATGGGAGGTTTGAGCAACCAAGAAGAGGTATTAACAGATGAAGAAAACCTAGACCTGAACTCCTCCTATAAAGATAGATGGCTTTTCTAACAGAATTTGCCAAATTAAAATAAGAAATTCAACTCATGTCTTAAACATGTGTCACATAATCCCAAATCCTCTCCTTTACTCAGTTTTCTGCTGAAAATGTACACTTGGAGTCAGGAAGCCAAGTGGAAGGGGGACCATTAAAACAAGGACAACCTCCTACTCCACGATCTTAATAGCAACTTTATAAATCAAACCATAGAGGCCCTTCCTCCTAATGATCTGCAAAGTACCAATCAAAACCTTATAACACACAATGAAACATTCCCCCGGGGCCCTCTGGGTCTGTGTTTAGAGCAACACGCTCACCCGGCAGTGAGGGCTGCTTATCTTCCCTCTGCCATGACCTCAGACCCGCCCCACCTTCAGCGATTCCCGAACACCCACTCCCGAACACCCACTTCCTAGTCTCCCTGGGCCCAGGTGAGCCCTGCTCAGCACTCGGCAGCCAATTGGATACATAAAAGGAATCGCAGCCAATGCCCCCAAGCCAGTATTCCCAAAGGCTGCATTTGGCATGGCTCAGGTATGTGATATTCACCTCACAATTCACTAAGGCCTCCCGGTCTGACCTGCCAGAGAACACTGGCATCCTTGTGGCAGGCAGCGTCTGACCTGGCTCCAGTGACCCCTCCTCCTTGTATGCCCCTCCCCCGAGTGGGCTGGACCCAGGGTCCTGCTGTTCTAACAGAATATGGCCAAAGTCATGGATGTCACTTGTGTGATTATGGTGCAAAAGACGGTGACTTCCTTCTGGCTAGCGCGCTCGCTCTCTCGCTGTCCCTCCTGCTCATGAGGCAAAGTGCCATAATGTGACATTCTCCACGGAGAGGCCCGCGTGTCCCGTCGTGAGTAAGCTGGAATGAGAATCCTCGCTGAGGCACGAACGGACTCTCGCCTAGTGAGAGACTCGGACCCAGAGGACCCAGCTCATTTGCTCCTGGATTCCTCACAGAAACTGTGAAAGAGTAAACGTTGTCTTAGCCACAAATTGGGGAGTAACTTGTTTCTCAAGAGCTAACCGATTCCATGCCATCGAAGGCTCCCCACAGCTGACTTGCGACCTCAGGACGCAGACCCCGGAGCTCTCTGCCCAAGGCCCCTGGCCCGTGCCCCCAGGAGCAGCGTCCCTCGACCTCAGGACGCAGACCCCGGAGCTCTCTGCCCAAGGCCCCTGGCCCGTGCCCCGAGGAGCAGCGTCCCTCGACCTCAGGACGCAGACCCCGGAGCTCTCTGCCCAAGGCCCCTGGCCCGTGCCCCCAGGAGCAGCGTCCCTCGACCTCAGGACGCAGACCCCGCGAGCTCTCTGCCCAAGGCCCCTGGCCCGTGCCCCCAGGAGCAGCGTCCCTCGACCTCAGGACGCAGACCCCGCGAGCTCTCTGCCCAAGGCCCCTGGCCCGTGCCCCCAGGAGCAGCGTCCCTCGACCTCAGGACGCAGACCCCGGAGCTCTCTGCCCAAGGCCCCTGGCCCGTGCCCCCAGGAGCAGCTCCCTCGACCTCAGGACGCAGACCCCGGAGCTCTCTGCCCAAGGCCCCTGGCCCGTGCCCCCAGGAGCAGCTCCCTCGACCTCAGGACGCAGACCCCGGAGCTCTCTGCCCAAGGCCCCTGGCCCGTGCCCCCAGGAGCAGCTCCCTCGACCTCAGGACGCAGACCCCGGAGCTCTCTGCCCAAGGCCCCTGG